GTGTGTGTGTGTGTGTGTGTGTGTGTGTGTGGTACTGGAGACTGAACCCAGAGCCTTCACACTGAGCTCCATGCCTAGTCCTTATATTTTATTTTGAGACCAGGTCTCACTAAGTCACTAAATTGTCCGGGCTGGGCTCAAATTTTGTGATCCTCCTGCCTCTGCCTCCCAGAGTGCTGGGACTATAGTGTGCCCCACTATGCCTGGCTGCACTAATTTTATGCAGATGGTACCAACTACTTTGTAGAGATTTTATTTTCCACATCTTATAAGTAAGCAATAGAAGGCAAAGACAGTTCAGTAACTTGGACCCACCTTGGAGAAGCAGTTAGAGCACTGGGTCATTAGGTCTAAGTCTCCCAGCCTTAACACTCCTATGTTTCACATTCCAAACCCTAGTCCTCCCAAAGCCTCGGGATTGCTGGGATAGACAGTATGTTCAGTGGCGCCCACCCCCACCCACTCTTTTAAGCCATTCTTGCCTTTGCACATAGCTTTTATTTCTGAGTCACCTTCCTCCTCCCATCACCAAAAAAAATTTATTTTTTGAATGAATGAAAGAGTCCTCTGAAAACTCTTTACTATGCCATTAAGACTCAAGAGTTGTTTTGGTGGAAAATACCAAAGCTTTCTCCACAGCAGATCATTCTAGAAAAGCTGTCTCTTATCTGGGGTCACCTCCTCTCCCTCAGGCTCTCCACCTCTCTGAAACAAGCCGCCCACAGTGACCTTAGGCCACTGACAAAGTTATCTGAGATCTTGCCGAGTCTCCATCCTACAGGTATCCACCCTTTAAACAGAATTCTTTAAGAGGAAAAGGGTTTACTTTGTTTTTCAAACCATCTCTACCATATCCTATACTGGCCACTGGGTGTAGAGACAGGACATTCATGTGTGACAGCCATTGCCCAGGCCACAGCAGAGTTATTAAGTACTGGTCCGACACTGCACTGAGAAACTGGTATCCAGTGGCTTTATAAAACACCTTTTGGGGGTAGTATTGGGGATTAAACCCAGGGCCTTGGCACTGAGCTCCAGTCCCTTTTTTCTTTTTTTAAATTTTGGATCTTGGTAAGTCACTAAGTTCCCCAGGTGGGGCTTAAACTTGTGACCCTTCTACCTCAGCCTCTGGGAGTGCTGAGATTACAGGCCTGTGTCACCAGGGCCAGGGAGGAGCTTTTTGATTTACAGATTCAGCATTGTTTCCATGTTTCAAGGGAACTTTAAACACATCATTACAAACAGGAGAACACATGATGGCCTCATAGAAACAACACAGTAAATATCATAGACCCAATAGAATAAACACCAACAACTGAATGGCAAATTTTTTCATTAACCAAAAAGGTCTTGAATGATGTTTTGAATTATGTCAAAACTCTTTTTCCCCCCCAGTACCAAGAATGGAGTCCAACTCTTTGCGCATCCTAGGCAAGCACTCAGCACTGAGCTACACCCTCAGCAGAGGAGGGGGACTCTCTTTTAAAATTGTATTCTGAGAAAGGGTCTCACTAAGTCCCTAAGTTGCCCAGCATGGCTTCAAACTTGCAATCCTCCTGCCTCAGGCTCCTAGTACCTAGGAGTACTGATGTATACCACAACACTATGCTCAAACCTACTTTTAAAAATTGGATCAAAATATATTTGTTACATGACATAAAAGACAAGCTACCTAAATATGCTGAAAAAACATCTAACTAGGCATGGTATCACATGACTGTAATCCTAGCTACTCGGGTGGCTGAGGCAGGAGGATCAAAGTTAAAGCCCAGGCTGGGCAACTTAATGAGACTGTGTTTCAAAATATAAAATTAAAGGGCCGGGGATTTAGCTCAGTGGTTTTGCCATCTGCTGTGCAAGCGCAAGGACCCGAGTTCGATCCTGGTACCAAAAAACAAAAACAAAACATATATATATATGTGTGTATAGTTAAAAAGTGGTAGAGCACTTACCTCAAATGGGCAAGGCCCTGAGTTCAATCTTTAGCACTTTAAGAATTTTTTTTAAAAAGTCTAGTATAGCATTATTACTAATAGCAAAAGAAAGAAAAGATAGAGATAGGAAAAAAATAAAACCAGTCATTCCTACTTTTATAATTTTCTGGATAGTTATAGAGCATCTTCAACTATGAAGGTATCAAACCTAATGTGAGGATAGATGTTATAAAGACAGGACAAAGCTCAGGCCTCACAAAACTTCTATTATATAAAAGACAGACACTAAGATAATTACACTGCGTATTTTTTCCCAGTAGTTATGACAATATTCTTTCCTAAATAACAAGAGGAAATAGTGAAACACACAGACATTTTAAATAATGTCTCAGACATTTTAATAATGGAAGATGTTATTATAAGAATATTATTTAATAAAAGCAAGAAACAGTTGTATTAAGCATATGATCTCCTCAGTGGTTAAAAAAAAGGTACAAGAGGACATCTTAATGGTTGTAAAAACAATCCATAAAAGTAAATGGAGCAGGTGGGGCTCAGTGCGGTAAAGCACATATTTAGTGTACGAGAGGCCTGGAGTCTAACATGGAACAACAAAAAAGAAGGAGGAAAAAGAGGAGGAGAAATGATTGGTGATAGCCAAGAAAAATGATTAAAGAAATCTGTACTCTCAAACAGCAGATGTATTTTCATGCTACAATAAGGAGTTCCATGAAAAATGGGGTAAGAATCAACAAAAGTCCATTTCTGGCCTAATATTCCACATTATAGTTTTTCAAATGTTTCAAAGTGATATTTTAAGCCAGTGAGAAAAAGGTAAATCAGGCAATCACCAGTAGGTTAGTTATTTAGAAAAATAAGGACACTTAAATCTTTACATTGTACCACAAATTCCTAAAGCATTTCAGAGTTAAAATTTTAAAACCATTCAAAAACTATTAAGCTAATTTGAAGATAGGCATTTCCAAGCATTTTAGAAGAATGAAACTTTTGTTTTGTTTTTGTGGCATAATGAAACCCAGAGCCTTGCATGGGCTTTACTACTGAGCGACACCCCAGGCCAGATTGACAGACTTGATGATATATAATTAAAATACAGTTCTAGCCTAGGGTTGTAGCTTGGTGGTAGAGTGCTGGCCTAGCATGGCCTAGGCATTGGTTCTATCTCATGACTGAAAAAAACAAAATAAATAAGTAAAAATATCTAAAGCAAATACATGAAATTAACACAAGATAATGACACCCTAGGGTAACTCTTTCCCTCTTCTAACTATACTGAGGATAATTTATTCACTTATTTATTTATTTTGTAGTGCCAAGATGGACCCCAAGCCATCACCCATGCTAGCGAAGCAGTCTACACTGAGCTACACTCCCAGCTCTAACTCCTCTTTAAAACCCTTTAAAAGACCCAGTATGTTGACTGCCAAACATTGTCCCAATTGGGCTAACTAAAAAAAATGGAGAGTGGTGTAGAGAACCCAGCTGATGGCCTTACAAGTCGGGGCCAGACAGGCAATGATGACAGACACACAACACACAACACCCTTGTCTGGCCGTACAGACTTCAGCAGCGCCTCGGGAGGTGGCCAGAAACATCAAATCAGCAGGCTGAAAATGTAACTCAGTTCCTTCGCTCCAGTTAAGGAAGACAGCAGACACCCAGAAGATGGCAGCACCCCCGAAAAAACAAAACAAGGGCAGGGGCCACTGCACAAACAATACAGACACGGAGCCACTATTGCACCTGGGCTGGTCACCTTCCTCTGTGGGCCAGGCCTCTAGGACAAAGTATGGGCCTTCGGACCATCCCCAGAGGGGGACACTGATGCCAACAGCTTAACTGCGTGAGACCAACAGAAGCCCAGAGCACTGCCTGCACGATGAGCTCCAGCTGCAGCCACCTGTGAACCCCAGTTAGTCTCCCGGCTCAGGAGTTGGCCAGTTCAGCAGACAGACCCTGATGACCACACTGGACTTCTACCCCCGGCCGGCTTCCCAAAAGGAGGAGGCAAAGTTCTACAGAACGGAGGCCACGCACCAGCTACAGACAAGACGCCACACACAGCCACCTGCAGGTCAGCGCAACTCTCCCCACACCAGGCCTATAGCTCTTCGGTGCCTCCCATTTAAAGAGGAGGCCCAGAGGCCTTGACACCCAGTGGAGGAAGAAGCACGCCAGACACACACAGTCACAACAGAACGGCATCCACCAGGACACTGCACCAGCAATTGAAGAGCTGCTTCCACGCCAGGCACTTCATTTCCCTTCCACTTTTTAAACTTCACAAGAAATCGCACTTCTCATGTTACTCATGGAAAAAGAAAAGACAACTAACTCAAAATCAGGACTACAGAGTGCTACAGTAGAAATTCAAGTTCTGAAGCTCATTCTCCCAAGTTGTGGCAGCAATCTTGTCCCCACTGGCACTAAGGGCTTCTGCCTGGGACGGATGGAACCCAGTCCCTGTGCTGTGCAAGGACACAGCCTGGCCTTCCTGGCACCCCTGCCACACAGCGGACCTGGTCAACCAAAGGTGCTCAGCCTATGCTTAGAAGGACACCAGTGGCAGTCACAGTAAACAGCAGAAGCAGCCAAAAGGCACTGAACATGACCATGAGGGCAACGCGTGGGATGGGACACAGGTCCCCACGTTTGTTGGCCTGTACCCAGAATAGAGTAAGGCTTCCTTTTTTTGGAGGCAGATTTCATTATGTTGCCCAGGCTCGTCTTGGCTTCCTCCTGGGCTCCAAATTCTCTTGCCTCAGCAGCCTGAGTAGCTGGGACCCCAGGCATGAGCCACCAACCACCATGCCTGGCTTTCCATATTTCCATTTTTCAGATGAAAACAATGAGGTTCAGGAAGATCACACAGCAAGGAAACCTGAACCTATGTCTGACATCAAAGCCTGTACTCCCTCCCAAGCACCCTCCTCACCCACTGGGACCACAAATGAGGCCCAAATGGGTCTTTCACACTACCTCCCCCCATTCTCGGTGCCATCCTCCCACACCTATTCCACCGCAGCCTGAGATCCAGCTACTACCTTGGTTGAGGTAGGTCAGGGTTTCCTCATGCAGCTTCACGGCCGGTGATGTGGCAGCACACAGCACGTACTGCAGGGGTGGCAGGCGGGCCCCGTTCTCAGGTGACAACTGGGGCTCCTCTTGCTTGAAGATGGGCAGAGCAAGCACATCACTGCAACACACAGGAAGCCACAGTCAGGGAGCCTTCCCACAGGCTGAGTGAAGGGGCTGCGGCTGGGCTTGGTCACAGATTCGAGCGGCTCCAAAGATCACAGCAAGCCACTGGCCAGCGGGGCTTCTGCTCCCTCGGGCCACAAGCCTTCTAGGTGCTTGAAATCACTCCTTCCCGATTCTAGGAGATCTATTCGATCAAGTCCAGGAGGTAAAAGTGCAGTAATCTACTATCTGCAGAAATCCTAAGTGAGGAAGAGACTAGCACCAAGAAAGTGGCCTTTTGAAGCCATTTGGTTTCAATCCACAGAAGACTATTCATAAAGTCTTACGTTTAGAAGAATAATCTGAACAATAATTTTTTTAGCCCATCATGGTGGTGCATACCTGAGAGACACTCTGTCTCAAAATAAAAAATGAAAAGGGTTGGGATGTAGCTCAGTGTGAAGGCTCTGGGTTCAATCCCCAGTAAGACAAAATAATAACAGTGGTAATAATTTTTATTTCTTAATCAACTCTTCTATTTACCAGTCACTTCTCAGGCCAGTTACAACTCCGTCCTGGAACTCTGTAACCTGTGCAAACCGAGAACCTACTTGTTTTCCTCACTCAAGCTGAGATCTTCCGAAAAGGGGACAACTGGCCCATAACCGTTGTTGTAGTAAGGCTCACAGCAATCTCTCCAAAATGCAAAAAGAGGAGGAAGAACCTCAGTTTCAATTCAAGTTTTCTTACCCAACTGGAAAATCCTCAGATGCTCAAAGATTCTTTTCTTCTACCTCTAAACAAAACTCCCCCACTGGACCAAAATAAAATCAGCCTTCTACCAACATGTAGCTGAGGAATTTGTTTCTAAATTTTTTTTAAGAGATAGGGTCTCACTATGTTGCCTAAGTGGACCCAAACTTCTGGGCTCAAGAGATCCTTCTGCCTCAGTCTCCCGAGTAGCTGGGAATTCAAATGCACTCCATTGAATCCTCAACAAGGGAAAAAGAAATCTCAAATCCTTTGAGAACATGATCAAACTGGGAGCAGGAGAGATTCACTTAAGATCTCTAAATTGTGAGCACTGCAGAGAAACAGGTGCCAAAAACAAAGTGCTATGTCGTATTTTGATAACCCTCCTCCTTTTGTGGGTCCTAGGTTTCGAATCAGATTAGCTGACCCTACTTTACTGCATAAACAGAGTCCCTGGTACAATCTGTTCCTTGAACACATCGTAAAAGTGTGTCTCTGAGACACAAAGCCGACACACACCCCAACGTCTAACCAATTCTCAGGAGAAGTCTGGCTTTGGGCATGCCGGGAAAGATTTCCCTGCCACTGTCTGCTCCCCACAGAGGACAGCATGGGGCTGACGCTGCTCCCATGCAGCATGCCCGTCTTTTTCCTTTCTCCAGCCTGTGTGGTTATCTAGGAACATGGAGAAGCAGGCAGGCCTGTTCACCTGGGAATTGCATAATTTCATGTTTGTCCAGACCATGTTCAGTTAATAACCCATGCATTCCTGGCTTTAAATTTTTTTAAAGAAAAGGATGGGAGGTGCAGGAGGTTAAGAATCATCACTTGACAGCAACTTATTTCAAGCCTGACATCCTTATTTGCCAAGGAATCAAAGTCACCAGAACAAGGCCACTGCCCTTGTGAGGTCACACAACTTGCAAAAGTTCTGCAAAGTGAGAAAATGTCCAAAAACAAAATACAAAAAAAAAAAATCCAAAGAAAAGGACAAGATCTTGTCTTTAGAGTTGGGGGATCAGGGATGCATGCACTGACCCCACCTCAGCCTTTATGAGATCAACCCCTGTGAAGTCAAATCCCTCAACAAGAAATGAAGTTTTAAAAAGCTACGGCTAGAAGAGCTGGGGTGTAGCTCAGTGAAAGAGCCCTTGCTAGCCAAGGCATTCAACTTCCAGTACCCATAAAAAAAGGTGGGGCTGGAGATGTGGCTCAGTGGCACTGCATTTGGCCCACATGCATGAGGTTGACTTCAATCCCCAGCACCACAAAAGAGGGGGAAAAAAAAGACTACAGACCTTCATCATCCACAATTTCCCATAATCACTCCCAAAATCAGGATGACTTTATAGCACCTTTCACCTCCAACTTTCAGCCTCCTCCCTTCACACAATACCAACCCTAAAAGATACTGGGGCTACTCCACAGACAAGGCTACATTTTGGTAGCAGATGTCAAAACTGCCGCTCATCCTAGAGGACAACTCTTACCTACTGGAACATTTTCGGTCTCTAGGAAGTTTTAAATACTGTATACTTATCTTCAATTCAAGGTCACCTTCAAAGTAGTTTTTCAGGCATGTCAAGATACTTAGTGGCAACACACTACATTCAGACAAAACTGCAGTGTGCGCTACATTGAAAACACATCCCTTTGTAGCATTTTTTTTATTGGGGTTAATGATGTAGCATTTGTTTTATAAGTGAGCAGCCACTTACTCTTCTGCAAGGAATGAACATCCTCCCAATAGGCTGTGGCGTCCCCAGAGTTGCTTTAGGGTCTGCAGGGAAGCCACAGTCCACAGGACATTCGACTTTTTGCTGTCTTCTACCACTGTGAATAAAACCCGGCTGATTCATCAGTTAAACTCAATCACTCGTCTGCTTTCTGGAAGGAGGAGGCCTTTGGGGAGGACAATTAGACAGGCACTACACCTGTAATACTCATCAGAGCAGTAACTTCTTAGGATCAAAAGCAGCACTAAGCAGTTGGTAGCTCTGGCTTTGGGGCCATCAGTGCCTGAGACGCCTTCAGCCTCACAATTCACTTTGCCTGAGTTCACATCAAATGCCCTTTGGGTTAAATTAGGGACATTTAATAAACTGTGACTAGGATGGAAATAAAGACAGGCTAAAGCTGGTTCCAGCGAGTTCAGAAAGTGAAATGACTGCCCATTAGTGACCAGCCAGCTGCACAACAGGGAGAAAAATCTTCCTGGAACTGAAGCAAACGGGGGTCCTACTCTCTAAAGGGGGTTGTAGAGAACTTTTCAAAACAGGCAGGACTTACTTTTCCCTTTGAAGAGCACTAGTCAAATCCCTGCAGAAGAAGAAAGATTTCCATCAAGGACAATAAGCGCTTAAGCCTCGGGCAAACAAGAGCGAGACCTTTTGGGGCAGGGGGCGGTATCCCCTTCTGAGCCTGCCCACCGGCCCACCACCTGCCCACCCGCCAGCCACTGAAGCCCACTGCAGAGGGAGCGAGGCTCAGAGAGGACCAAGGAGCAAGGGTCAGTTTCCCAGAGCACCCCCACACGGATGGCAGAAGTTTCCTCTTCGCTCCCATGAAAGCCGGGCGAGGAGAGACGCGGGAGATGGACGGGCTTGGAAGGGGTCAGCAGGTGCGCCTGTGCCCGGGAGCCGTCGGGGCGGGGCCCTCGGGGACGCCAGGCTCCCGACCAGGCCACCTGGTCGGGTCCCCCTGGGCTCCGCTGATCGTTCCCCACCAGGGGATCTGGCCCGGTCTCCCTCATCCTCCCCAGAGGGCGCGCTGCCGGGCGCAGGGCCCCGTGTGGGCGGCCCCTCTCCGCCCAGGTGTCCTTCGGCACCCGGCTGCGACCCCGCCCAGGGCAGCGCCGTCTGGCCGGGGCGGCTGGGGGGAGGCAGGGCCCTTACCGCAGGTAGCTGCCTGAGTTGTGCTGGTTGTAGTGCTCGGGCTGAGTGTGCCAGAACAGCATGGCTTGAACCCCCAGTGCGCGGAGAGGCGCGGCAACGAGTGGAGACGCGGGCGGCACCCACCGCGCGGTCACCTGAGAGCCGCGCCGGGAACCCGAGGTGCCCGGTGGCCCCGCGCATTTATGGGCGGCGCGGGACGGGGCGGGGCCGCGGCCGGACCGCCCTCCAGTACCGTGGCGGGAAGGCGGCTCCCGGCCCCGCGCACCTGGCCTACTAAGCGGCGCGCCCTTTCCTGGAGTGGCGTCCTCCAGGACTCAGGGACCGAAAGGTGGGCGGGGCGGGGCGGGGCGGGGCGAGGCGGGGCCCAGGTGACCCCTGCTGCAGCCCACCTGCTTTCTAGTCCCTACGCTCCCGGTTCCCGACGCTGAGCCCACAGTTTGTCCCCAGGGCGGCTCGGTGATTGGAACAGGCTCGGATGTCCAAGAACCCAGTCCAGGCACAGGCACGCTTTTATCTTGCTCTTTTTTTCTTCCAGGCATCTCATACTATGAAATCCTTTGCACTTTGAAATTTTCTTGTGTATTGGTTGTCTTGCCCCCTGAAATGTAAGCTCCAAGAGGGCAGGGCCTGGGCTAATTCACCACTGCCCAGAATAAATCTTTAAATACATATGAAGAAAAGGAAATGAGCTGTGAGAAGGGGTGGGGCAGATCCCAGAGAGGTCGAGGAGCTGGGACTTCCTTTACCTTTTCGGCTTCTTTTCCCCAGGCACCCGCCTTCCTCTCTCCACCCTCCAGATTTTATTCCAAGTGTGTTTTAAACTGAGCAGGTGAGCTCACAGTTTGCCTTTCAGAAAGACCTGTCTGGCAGTAGTATGGACAGTGGGTCATGGTGAATGGGGTCAGTCAGGAGGGAGCCGAGTTCCATGGGCCAGGGCCCACATCCGAGGGATATCCGGTCCCCAGCACATGGCACAGGGCCTGGCACAAAGAAGGCAGCCATTCTGCCCTCTGGGACCTAGGCCTGTAGCTCCCAGCTCCCCTGGGCCTGGATATGGGTGAGACTCTCCCTCCCTCACTGTTCCTCGCCAAATCCTGCAGCCACAAGTCACAGCTGGCAGCTCTCAAGGGCCCCACTTCTGCCTGCTGTTCTGGCCTGTGAGGCACAGTAGAGAGTAGTCTGCAGACAGCCCCACACACCTGCCCCTTCAGGGACCCCTGCTGTTGCAAGGAGGTCAGATACCTGTTGGGGACAGCCACATTCCAGTGACTCTTACACTGCCAGCGCTGATGGGCTGTTTAGCCCCAGCATCCCTCATAGAGACAGTCCAAGCTATGGCCAGAACTTGCATCATTGCTCAAGGTCCCCCTAGTCCGCCCCTGCTGCCTTCCATTCCCTTCCCAGGTGTTAATCCCAGGGGAGCTCCCTAATTCATATCAGAACACTACATCATTTAACAGGAAGTGCTCTGGTGTGAAGCTGATGAGCCTGGCCTTTCCTGGAACCCTCTCATTCTAGCCTAAGAGGCAGTGGGTGAGCAGCAGTCCCCTGCAGTGTGACCAGGGAAGTGGCAGCTGTTGTGGGAACAGAGGGGACTTTGGATCCAGAGAAGACCCTGGTATGTGTGAGTGGAAGTTAAGCCATTGCATGGCAGGGAGGAAGGGCCTCCAGCTGAGGAAGAGAACTGAACAGAGGAAGGGAAGTGGAGATGATGAGAATTCAGACCTGGGTTTTCTACTTAGTGGTCTCAGAATATGTGATCCTCGTGAGGTAAACTAAGCCCTGCTGCTCAGAGATGACTTCTCCCCCCACCCCTGCATGGCTGGCCCCAAGGCTTCCTTTGAGCATACAGTGCAGCAGAAGTAATGCTGTTTCAGAGGTGGGCTGGCCCATTAGATGGCAGAAAGCTGCTCCCAGCTCTACCAGAGCTCAGAACCATCACATCAAGAGCCCCTGTGCCCGGCTTGCAAGGGAAACACATCCAGCCCATCACTCCAGGTACCCAGCCGTGCTCCCAGGGGAAGGGCTCGCACAGACCTGTCAACAGAGGCAAGCCTGCAGACTAGGGGGCAAGCATGATTGTGCTCTAAGCCACCCAAGTGTGAGGCGGTTTGTTTCATGCCAATGAGGAAGCTGCACATTGGGTCCTTTGCGCCACAGTTTGCCCCTGGTAAAGTGGGGTTGATAAGGACTGTAGCTTCTTATTTCCAAGTGCAACTGTACCTGCACAGTGCAGGTGACTGTACCGAAGGTGACAGCATAGCTTTGTCCTCCTCTTAGGTTCTCCTGCTTGAGGAGACAGCATGACAGTCCTGTCCTTCAAATAACTGCCTATTTTGGCCTGTGACTTTTCAGTGTTAGGGCACAGCTGAGGCTTTGTCTAAACCCCTTGGGGCTTCCATTCTGGTAAAGAGAAGACAGCCATGCACGAGATGGCCTTCCAGTCCCTCTATTTTGTCAATGTCCATGATTCACATATGGTGGGACTATCAACTTTTACTCTGTGCTAGGCCCAGAGATAAACAGAATAGACACATCAGCTCATTTTATAGATGAAGAAACTGAGGCTCAGGAGGCCAAACACCACAGCTGAGATTTGAGGCCAGGCTTGTGACTTCTGGGCTCATGCTCTTTGGCTATCAATAATTTCTGTCCCAAAGTTCTATGTTCCTTTTCTGACCCAATCCTGGGAAAATTTGCTGTCATCAGATGTGTGTCTGCTCCCATGGGTTAGCCCAGGACCCCTCCAGAGTCAGCAGCAAGACCCCCACAGAGTCATCGGGTCTCCTCCTAAAGCTGCGCAGAGGGCCCTTACTGCCAGTGAGCTGTCTTGTCAGATGAGTAGGAGTTCAAGGACGGCTCATTCAAGAGGTTGGATTTGGCCAGCAGGAAAAGCAGTCACAGTACTGGGTGCTCTGGGGATCTGCTGCCACAGGTAGGTGGCAGAGGGCAGAAGGCAGAGTTAAGCTGCAGGGCCTCAGTAATGCCTGTCTGGGGCCAGTTCAGCACCCATGCTGGTGGGGACAGCTCTGCTGGGCATGACAGTGCCCTCCACACTCTAAGAAGTGCAGGTGGGGCCACTCTTGAGCTGTTGGGAGCCTGCAGCCGACTCCAAAGTCACACTGCTTAGAGTTAAGTTCACCAAGAGCCTCCTGTACTGGATAGAACTGGATCCTGCTGGAAGACCCCCAAATAAAATGACTCAAGCAGCACACGTATTTACCCTCATATTTCAGCATCTATAGTTAATGCCACCCAGCACAGCACCCACTTGCCACAACAGCTGGTCTGCACAGAGGTCTGCAGGCCTTGGAGAGCCCATAGCAAGGTCAAAACCTCATGTGACAGAAAGTTGAGTGGAGCTCAGTGGTGAAGCATGGCTGTGCCTGCACAAGGCCCTTGGTTCAATTCCTCAGCACCAGAGAGAGAGAGAGGACACAATACAGCCCATCACTAGCTTTATGCCAATCATGTGAATGGTAATAATTAACTGCCTTAGGTTAAATATATTTTAAAATCTAATTTCACCCATTTTACTTTAAAAGTTATGCATGTGGCTTGCATTTGTGGCTTGTGTTATACATCTGTTATACGGAAATGGTCTAAAGTGGTCACTCTCACCCAGGACAAGCACAACCTCTGGAAACATTTTTGGTTGTCTCACATGAGGAGGTGAGGTGGGTACAGGCCAGGGAAGCTATAGACATCCTATAACACACGGGGTGATTCCTCACAGCAAAGAATTATCTGGCTCAAAAATGTTAATAAGGCTCAGATTGAGAAACCTTAATCTGTTCATGGCATCTACAATGCCAGGAACTCAGTTTTCTTTTTTTGTTGTTTTGTTTTGTTTTACAGTGCTGGGGATGGAACCCCAGTCATCTTATTCTTTCTTTGCCACGTGTACCTTCCCTTTGTGAGATATTGGCACAGTGGCTGCTGGAGCTCCAGCCATTATGACAGCATTCTCACCAGTCACAAAGAGGGGGGGCAGAATAAGGGCACACCTTCTCTGTTCACAGAAGATGTATACACCACTTTTTCCTAACTTCTTCACTTGATCTTAGCCAAAAGGCCGAGAAGTGATCTCTCCTAACATCTTGACTGAAAGCTAGTCACCTGGCTTCTCCTTGCTGTATAGGAGCTACTAGGAAATGTAGTCTTTATGGGAATGGCATGTGCCCAGATAAAAAACAGAGATTTCTTACCAAGGAAGATGGGGGAATGGATCTATGGGTGAGACTAATAGCTGCCATACTTTCCAGGTGTGCCAGGCAAGAAATGTTATTCCCAAGTTGCAGATAGAGAAACTAAGGCACATGGGTCAGGGAGTTGCCAAAACATGGCAAACGGCACGGCTGAGCATGAGCTAAGGCCTCCTGACTTCTCTTCATCCACCGTGTTGTACTGCATGCTTGGCTCAATCCGTTTCTGTCCTTTGCGTCCCGTTTGCCAGTGGCCCATGTGGTCCTCTGCTGCTCAGCAGTTTCTAGGAGGAGGCAACTTTGTGCCTTCAAATCCAGATGAAGACTGCTGTGTACTCCGAGCACCACACCAAGCTCGGCTTCTTAGCTTTGACAACTGAATGAGGTAATAAGAGAGGTTAAGAGAAGGGAAGACAGGAAGTCTCTGCATTCCCCAGGTCTTTCTGTACATCTGAAAATACTCCAAAATGGAACAGTTCTTGTTGTTGTTGTTGTTGCTGCTGCTGCTGCTGCTGCTGCTGCAGCTAGGGATGGAACCCAGGGTTCTATATATGATAGATAAATGCTCTACCCCTGAGCTACATCTCCCCCAACAATTCTTTTTTTAAAATATTTTTTCAGAACTCAAGGAGTCTAACATATAATGTATGCACATGATTTGGTTTTTGTTCATTTTATTGTGTAGTTTTGAAGTGCTGAGGGCAGAGCCCAGGGCCTCCAGCACCTCTGGCAAGTGCTCTGCCACTGAGCTACATACACTCTGCCCTGATTTGGTTGCTTAGAGCAAAGCCCACCTGTACACTGACAGTCTCTGTGTGCCGCACTCCCAGACGCGGCAGAGTAGTGTAACAAATGTCTGCCGCGTGTCCACCCTGGGCACAGCCAAGCCTGTGTGAGGACCCCCTCACTGGCCCTAGATCTCACAAGGGCCCTGGGAAACAGCTGCTGGGTCCATTTTGCAGATGAGGCTGTGGAGGCTCGAGAGTCCAG